ACTGAAGTTCAACTGTCTCATGAGACCTAGACATGAAAAGAGAGATGAAGAGAGGTTTAAAAAAAGAAAGAAATCCTTTGATAGTCCTTGTATTTTTTGTGTTGTACTCTTCTATCATACTTTGCCTCCCTCAAATGTATGTGCGTGTGTGTGTGTGCGTGCATGTTCGTGTATGTGTGTGTGCATCAAAGCCCTACCATCACACAGCAGTCTTTTCCTTTGTCCCAGTTATATCACTCCGTCTCTGCCTCCGCCCTTCCTTCCCTTGCCACCTGCCTTTTTCATAGTCATGTCATACTGCTCTCCTGCCATACCTAGTGATTCCATTGAAAATATTTCACTGCAACACACCCCCGCATGCCTCAAGAAATGGCAAAGTAACCTCTCTAACCAGGAACATGAAACTCTGTGCTGCAGCAGTGACACCTAATTTATTCCCCTACCCACTGGTGTGTCATATCAAAAACACACAGCCTGGGTATAAAAGAGCAAAGTCCACAAATTGTTCTGTGTGGCATTTATTACCACACAAAGCAAAAAAATATAATAAAAACGTAACATAAAGAATATGGCACATAAGTGGTGACATATCGTGGTGCAGATTCCTTAAAAGCTGTGTGGGTATTTAATGTGGCTTTTGCAGTTTTGTTGGTACCTCGTCTTTGATCCGTTTTTACTTTTCCCCTCTGTTTCCATCCTGCTGTTTCACATCATTGGCACGTTGCCTTGTGGTGCATCTACCAGGGCTATGGCTCTCATTAGCACCTGTATTGACATGACTGGCATCTCATCTGTTGTTTTCCTCTTTCTCCATCTTTTTTCTTTTTTTCTATTTTTCCTTTCCTGTCAGCTTCCTCTCGCTTGTTGTACTCACAGTTGCCCCAAATGCTCTGTGTTTCCCCCCCCCCTAACTTTCACTCCTTATCCTCCCTCGCGGTTTCGCTTCTCTATGCTTCTCCCTTCTGCTCTGTTCCTCTCACTGTCTCTCCCTACCAGGGGTTTTTAATTAATGGTCGAGCCATGATGCTTATCTTATCAGCAGATCACTCTGCTTTCTATTAACTACACTGACAGAACTGGGAGGCTGTAGGGGGATGGATGACACACACTCTCATACACATGCAGTGACATAGCATATAGTCAGATACATATATATGGCGTCAGTACACCGAAGTATAGACACAAATGAATATATATGCACTTGCCATTACACTCATGCACACAAACAGACATGGACGCAACAAGGGCCTCATAAACACACATCATGATGCTATCTTAATCTTGCCACACACCCTTACACACATAAACAAACTGCCCTGATGGTATCTCACTGTGTGATTTAAGGAACGTTGTTTGGGGGTCTCTCCTCCTAAATCCCCTAAATGCCTTGGGAATCCCTCCCTCTTCCTCCCTCTTCCTCCTTCTCTCTATCTGTCCTCTACCTCCCTCCTTCAGTCCTGCTTTCCAGCTGAATGAACACTTATCATTCGGCAGATAAACAGCCGTCCATGCTGGAGCTTGCTTTATCTTTGAGAGCCATGTTTACTCCCTGTGAATGCTCTGCTTTCCACAGATGTTTCATAGAGTGCATTCACTTGATCCGACAGAGATGAGCGCTGCGTCGAGGCTTCATTTTCTGCAGCAAAAACTATGGATGCACACACAATCTTCTACCCCATCAGGTTTAACTCCCCGGGCAGGTCAATTGTCCCATATTTACCACATTTTCATGTTTGGGTCGGCTGAGCTAGGAGGCACAATAAATCAGCAGTTTGCACGATAGCTTGATGGGGATCACGGTGAGACACAGTTCGCCACAGAACAGTAAGCATGAAGCCAGAAACAACAAAATCAATCCTCAAACATCATGATCGATGGGAGCCGCAAAATTTCAACATAGGTTTTCGTCAGATCGCATTGAGAGTTGGCAGTTTTCTGAAAGCACGGAGAGAAAGAAGCAACAGAGAAACAGTTTACAAAGTGATTATTGGAGAAAACATTACGGTGGATTGAGGCGGCACATGCTCGTGCACGGGCGTAGACATATCCAGTCGCCCACACTTTCCCGCACACTCATAATTTCCTCATTTGGGGGGCCATAGCAAAACAATTATCAGAGGGGGATAATACAATAAAGGAGACCATTTCCTGTGTATTACCGAGGGACAAAACATTTATTTCACTTTGTCTAGTGTGTTCATGAGAGTATAAACTTCCAGTGGTGGAAAGTATAGGAAATAACTCAAACTGCAGACAGCAAGCAGGCAGCAGAAATGCTGTCCTGTGCAGTTAGCAACACTTTTTGATTCTTTTTATAAGCTTTCTAAAAATTTCTCTGCATGCATCGCTTCATGCTTCTGCCGAAATCCTCTTTATTTGTATTAACTCGCATTTTGTCGCATCCATACAAATGTACAAATAAGCTGTTGCCCTTCAGCTTGACCTTCAAAATGATAATCCCTAGCATCTTTACATTTGCTGGTTACCTCTCAAAAAAGGTTGCTATGACATGAGCTACTACAACCATAT